ACCGATGTCCTTGCTACGTTTCTGTCTGGGAACATTTCAGTTGCATTGCTGTCTATGGAGGGTCAGAGAGCTCTCAGATTCCATCAAAAATATCTTCCGAAGATGAATGGATGTCTTACGGGATTGGAACGACATGAGGGTGAGTAATTAATGGCAGAATTTTCATTTTGGGGTGAACTAACCCTTTAAGTTCAAATTGAGTTATGGCATCTCATGAACCTTTCAAGCATTAGTTTCACTGCCATTTTTTATTAAAACACATGACACACATAAATCCCTCAGTTCAAGCAAAAATGAAATGGTTTGTTAGTTGACCAGACAAACCTCTGGCCTCAGTAAGTTCAGTGGAAACAGTGTTTGGTCTGCTAACTGGCTTTCCCCATTGGTCCATGGAACAGCATTTAGTCCATTTTCTTCAATGCAGTCTTCCACTTTTTTTCAGATAGTTCACAATTTTTTATAGATGGAGTTCATGAAGTCATTTTTGTAATGTCTTAAATCTCACTGTAAAGACACCAGCACACAGCAGCTTGCAGTACACGATGTTTTCTTGTGGTCATTTCTTCTTTATATCAGATGGACTTTTCACACTTACCTGTTAACCCAGGGTTGGTTTGTTTGTTTAAATATAAATAATAATGCACATTTTCACATTGTTAATACTCTACCACATGTTGTCATGTTCTGGAAACACAAATTTTTTAATTTTAAAGCATGCAACCTGCTTTTACAAACACGTGGGAATGTGGCCATCTTGCCTTAAAGGTGAGGCGCGTCATATTTTTCATCGTTTAAAGAGCAGTATCGTAGTCCCACACAAATGATTTGGATACGACATTATTACATTATTCAGCTCTGTTAATTAATCAATTATTCACAGTTCACACCATTCATGTTCACACCCTGAAGCAATTATTAGGAAAGAAAATCAACTACATGCCAAACGTTTCAGTTCTGCATGTGTAAATATTTACATGCATTACGGAACTATTCGGAAAATACTGTGACACAGCCGGTATTTTGAAGTATGGGTACCGCAATAATACTATAGCAGTAACCGCAGCTATAAGTCAGTCATCTGAAGTTTGAATAGGGCGAAAAGACACGGCAACTTTAGCTCAATCAATGGTGTGCGTTTGGGAACATTTTTCGACCAGTGGCAGACATGGCAACTGTTTGGATTGCCTGCATGAAAACGGAGTATTTTTGTAATCGTGCTTTGTGAATTTAAACACTATAGAAAAAAAATATACATACAAAAATAATACTGTTTCATAATCTCTCCAGTTAACGTTTACCATCACTGTTCAACATTTTTAAACATTGACTATTCTACGAATCGTAAAAAGATACTTCCTGCAGCCATGCGAAGTGCATGAATGATTTGAATGATTTCATCTACGGCTGGTTGTCTGTTGCTAAACTCATCAACATTTACTAGCACTGCACAGTTTCAGACTATATACCCATGGCACTGCAATAAACAGTGCTAACCCTGTTCTAGCTTCAGAACCCAGAGTTAAACCCTTTTTCAATTTCCAAGTGTGAAATGTTGCTTAACCCAGGGTTAATTGCAGTGTGAAAAGCCCCAGAGATATACTCTCATAAGCTGTTCAAACAGTTCATTATACACATACATGACCATGTTATTCCCTGGTGTCCTATCGAAATATTAAAAAGTAACTAAATAAAAACTAATGTCCATATTCGGCCTTCCACTGGTCTGAGAGTGCATTCGCTGCCCATTGTGTAGTTTGAGTGTGTGTGGTAAAAGTTTCAGTACACTTGAAATAGCCCTGACAAGATGAGCCACCCTTGATTTGGGCATTCCAGGTCCACACACACACCTACACACCCTCCTCACACCTGGCCCTTACAAACCTGAACTCTTCTCCACATCGCAGGAAAGAGTTCCCGTTGATAACAAAAAGCCAGGAGTGGCATGCACGTTGTAGTTTTCTCAGACCAGCGAGGCCTCGGCTAGTCATAATTCCGTGATCTCTAACGGACTCTCAGACAGAGTGTCGCTGCCCTTGTTTCTGTGCAAAGGTGTGGATTTTGCAGATTCTGTTCGGGCGTTGCGTTCGGCATACAGTCCGCCATCTGTGTGCAAGGCTTCAAGGGAGCGTGCCAGGGCACGCTGGTCATCTTCAGGCAGGCTGTTGAGGTCAGAGGTCAACAGCGTGCCTGTGCTGCCGTGAACTGCGTGCACCCCGTCAGGACCCCTGAGCTCGATCGGTAGTTTGTGCTTGAAGCGAAGGGTTCCTCGACCTCCAACACCAACGCGCTCGTCGTCATCTTCATCCAGGTCACTTTGGATCAGCTGGGAGAGGAAAACATGGATGAATGAATGGAATGATGCAGGATTTAATGGAAAGGAAAATGATGGAGTGATGAATGCATGGATAGATGGATGGATGGATGATTGAATGGATTTATGGATTGGTGGATGGATACAATGTAGGAATGTAGGATACAATGATAATTCGATGAATGGAATGATGGAGTCATGGATGCACATTTGTGGGATGTAATTAAGGACATGCAAACATTGATTGATGAATTATGAATTGGTGGATGGATGCAATGATGGATGTATGGTGAGATGGAATTATGGACAGATGCAATAGTTGCACGGATAGATAGATGCATGGATGAATTGGTAAATGGGTGGAGGAATTAATAGTTTGGTTGATGAATGGTATTATGGATGGTCGGATACATTTATGGATTGGTAGATAGATGCATGATGGGTTGATAGAAGGATTGATGGATGCAATGATGGCGTGATGAATGTATGGATTGTGGGATGGAGTTATCAATCAGATGGATGCATGATGGATGAATAAAAGGAATGATGGATACAGTGATGAATGGATGAATGGTGGGATGCAATTATTGACAAATTCAATTATAGATGGATGCATTGGTAGATGCATGAATGAATAAATGGATGCATGATGGTTGGACAGAAGAAAGGATAGATGGAGTGATGGTATGATTGACATTATGGATTTTATAATAGATTAATATATGGAATTAAGAGATTGGTAGATGGATGGATGGATGCAAGACAATGTAAGGAAGAAGGAGAAAAATAAACATTAACAACACAAAATCTTAGAATTTGACAGCAGTTTTAGAGGAAACACCAAGAGAGAGCACCAAACACATCTGTGAAGCAGTGAAGAGCAGTGAGCAGGCTGGGAACCAGCCTGGGAAACATCAGCAGGGTCACATGACTCTGGACAGCAGGAGAACCCAGGGATTCTACTGATAGGACAGGGTGGAGACATAGTCAGCCAGCAGTGAGGAAGAGGGGTGTAGAGGAAGAGCAAACACAGCAACCTGTCACATTGCCCACCTCTGTGACTGATGATTGGTCACCGTGGCTGGTTGACTTGGTGACCATGCGGGCGGCAAACAGCTTTTTGAGTCTCAGATAGTCATCCAGAACCACATTGAGCAGCGAGCCCTGATTGGATGGCAGCATTGGTCATGTGGTGTCTTATGAACTGAATCCTACAGCACGATTCTGATATTTCACCTCATTTAAGAACATGATCTCACTCCACATTATATTATATTGGGTCCCAAACTGAGATTAAGTCTTGGTTTGGACAAAATAACACCATAAATGTTGATTCTAAACTGAAAATACATTTGAAATATGTTCAAGTTTGGATTTGAGTCTAGGAATCAGGCCTCAAAAAGTACTGAAGCTCTATGATGATCCCATCTTCTGTTTGTGCTATCAAAGATTTTACGGTTTGCCTGTTTATGTTCTCTAGCGAATGTTCTCACCTTGATGGGCCCCTCTCTCATGATTTGTCCTAGTTTGGCGATGTTGTCATACTCCTGAATTGCAGCTCGTAGATATCGGTCATCCTCTGGTTTAGAAGCCTGAGGATCACGTCCAAATGTACCCTATAAAAGACAAGATATTTATTTAGTACCCTATAAAGTGAAGATGGCACTTAAGTACCCCACAAAGGCAAGAGAAGACAAAGAGAAGGTCTATGACAATACATGCACCATGGCATAATTCTGTCAGCGTTTTTGTGAGTTTATTACGTGTGTGCGAGCCGGGCTGTTCCAGAGGTCAGCAATGTCACTTAAGTCTTCAGGAAGGTCGTCCTCATGCTCCGCCTGTGCTGCTAACTCCAGATTCCTGCAGAAAGGATCTAGCCACACTGGATTTGCTCTATAAGCACACAAACAGAGAAGGAGAAGCATTGAGATACAATCAGTTAAACCTTACAATTCAGTCTATGCTAGATAATAACCAACATTGCATTTTGAACATATCTCATATATTAAGAGTATGTTAAGTTTTGTGACACGTGTGATTATTTTAGCAGTCTGGAGCTCTGTTAACACATATACATAAAGGCTCATATCAACAACACCATTGTATTGCTCACTCACCCTTCAAATGTGTACTTGTTTGTGTTGGGCATATCCAGAATATCCATCAACCCCTGATTTCCTGCAGATAGAGAGTGACAAACCAAACACGCTTTTACCATGACAACAAACACAAAGCCATGACTGTTAAACTTCAACTCATGTGAGGATTAGTCTCAGCTTCCTCCAATCGGAGGGATGGGACATTCCCGGCAGCTTACCTGTGGAGCCAGCAACAATTGCCTTCAGCTTCCTTTTGTGCCTGTTAAAAACAAGAAACAAAAACCTCCGATCTTATAATAGAACCTCAGATACCTGGTTATGCATTGAACATGACAAGCGACAGAACAGGATTTGATGTGGTGCTTCTTTCCACAAGAATCTAATGCTTCATAAGATTCTCTAATGAAAGTACTCACACTGTGCGGTAATACCAGTTCATCAGGATAAACAACATGGCAGCAAGGAAGAGTAAAACTGCCAAGATGATAATAGCCATCTGAAAGAGATAAATAGGCATTCATGCTGTATATAATGTCTTTTTAATACAAGAAATACACTGTCTACAAACACACGCACACACACCTGTAAGGTGGTGAGGTCATCAGGTGCACGAGTGGTCACAGCAGGCTGAACATCCAGAACGTTGTAGTTTCTAAACAGATTCCTCAACTGCTCCTTGTTCTCATCGATCATCTGAATCACCCTGAAAACCAGTTCAGTGAATCAACCAATCATCCTCAATGGATCAAAGCAACTGTGGATGAGACTACTGCATCAATTTAATGCAATAATCAATATTTCTATGTTTGATTATCATAGTGTAGATGATAAAGTAACCGGTATAGCTCAAGAAACACCCATTTGACATGTAGGACATGTTTGGTACTGTATATAAGTCTTACCTCTCCACATCTAGAATACGGTTGGTCTGCTTGTTGACCACATGAATCAGAACATCGGTTTGAGCGAAGTTCACTCTTCCCTTTTTATCCACATGAAACTATGGGAAAGAAATATCTGATTCACTCAATTGCATGGTTATGACAGGAGAAATATTGATCTAACTTTGTAAAGATAAGGACTGTAATCTGATTTTTAATGATATTTATAAAGACAGCACAAACACACATGTACCTGTACGTCATCAGTGTTAACTATGGCTCCTGTGATGTTTGAGAGCAGGTTTATAAACTCCTCCTGAAACAGCCGGACACGCTCCGGTATCTCATTAATGACGATTTTCACCCGCTGGTCGTCTCTCAGAATGTAAATGCCCACTAGAGTCACGTCACTGTGTCCTGCCAGATCTCTCGCCAGAACCTCCACCACAAAATAACCCAGATCATATGCCATAAACAGGTCAAACGTTCGGATGATTCCATCAGTCTCACCTGAAAAAAAAGAAGAGTCACTAAAAAAAAAGACATTTCAACAGAGAGTTGAAGAGTGTGTAAAACACACAGACCGATGATGAAGACGTTGCCCATGTCTTCAGAGTCATTGGAATGCAGTTTGATGTAGCGGATGGACAGAATGTGATAAAGAACAAGACTGTTGTTGCCAATGTCATTATCAATCGCTTGAACCCGGATCAGATCAGAGCCCACTTTAGCATCCGCAGCCACACCTGACAGAGAGAGAGAGAGAGACACACGTAACACGTAAAAATAAAATAATTTTTTAAAGCAATTAAATACAAATAAATAAATTAATATATATAAATTAAGAAATTAATATAAAAATTATTTATATAATAAATAATATATTTTTTTGTTTTGTTATATGATGGTCGCACTAAACTATCTTGGCAAATTTGTACATCTTCATAACTTATTTATGCTACTTCTTCGTGAGATTAGAACTTTTACTTTAATATTTTATTTTATATTTTACAATTCTGAATGAAGATGATAGAAATCGAAAAATCTAATTAAAATTTGCAAGCAGAAGAAAAGCCCAGTTTTGAGCTGATAATGGCGCTAGATAGCTTTAGAGCAAATAAATAAATAATATTTGATGCAAAGTAAATGAAACCCCCAAATTACCCTAAAAACAGTGGTCAAAAGCTGAAATAAAAATAAATCTGTTACCTGCAGTGTACTCCATCTTTGTGAATCTCGGAGATTGGTCGTTGATGTCCTCAAGGAAGATTCTTACTTCCTGTAATGTAGGGTCACGGCTTGGGTCAAGCACTTGGGCCCGCTGTGACCTTTGACCTCTCGGAGGAGACCAGTTTCGGTTACTGGACGCTTTAACAATGATGGAATACACTGGGATTTCTTCCCGATCCAGATCTTTTTTGACCTGTAAAACTCCGGCCACACTCATACCAAAGTTTCCCACGGTATCGCCTCCTAGAAAAGAACATCAGTAATGCAGTTAATAAAACGTTTACACTGGCCATGTATGAACTACTACCATTGTTCTGTTAAGTTTACAAGGGAATTTCAAAGTTTCTCAGAAATCTGAATTTTAGCATCTTCTGCTGATGCAACAAAATTGTGCAAACCGAGTGATACATTTGTAAATGTAGGTGGAAATGTTCTATGAAGAAAGAGTCCTGACCGACAATAGTTGATCAAGAGTGTTTGTCTAAGACCTAGGTTCACTGACCTTCATGTATATATATATATATATATATTTATATTCTTTCATGAATATGTCCGGCAGAGAGATTACTGCAAGATGATTATTCAGGAAACATCCAATTACAATTCACATTAAATTCAAAGTAATAAACTTCTTTTGTACCAACTGAACGGAGCCTAACATTGGATAAGCTTGTTTTTACTATTATGATGCAAATGCATATATAGGGGTTCATTTTTGTTGTTTAATGTTCTGTCCGCACCTGCAATGGAATAGTAGACGATAGCATTAGAGCCCTCGTCCGCGTCCACTGCACCAGTCACATTGCCCACAACAGTCCCAGGAGACGAGTGCTCAGGCACCGACAGAGACTGATATGGCAAACTTCCTCTCTGAAATACACGCACCACACAGAATTAAGCAATAAGTGATGGGAAATTTTTCAAGCATCACATTTCATGATGTAGAAGTCCTCAAAAAAATATGATAAAACCTACTTTATCATATTTGATATGCAAATTTCTAAGGCCTCTAAAATACCAACACGATCAAAACTTTGCTGAAAAACCTGTTTACTACATGCCTTCTGTCATTTGAAAATAGTTTAGTAAATTTCTAAAAACATCCACATGCATGTGTCTTTCTGCTGCAAAATCTTATTTTTATAAAGTAAACGTAAGAATAACTTTTATATTGATGGTAATATTAAAGACGAACATTTACTGAACTGAAGCAACTTGATTATCAGTTCATCATTTAAAAAAAAAAAAAATTATGTTAAAATGTGATACAATACATCAGGCTTTTGAGGTATGTTTATTTACATCTCTCAGTCATCACTGCATTACACTGCATTATTTGATTTGTTCCACAATAAAAGTTTTGATCATAAAACTAAGCATTTAAATATCTTACTAAGACATTATGGGGATGTAGAGTGCAACTGATATTTATATGCATTTTATGTAAGTAGTCTATTATTATTGATTTACAGTACATGACAAGCTATCAGAATTTCATCTTAGCCAAATAAATATCAGCAACAGCACCAAACTGCATATTTTTGCTCTTTTTTGGCCTCTGAATAAAACTGAGGTGTTTTTGTTTCCTCCTCAAATATGAGCTTCATATTCTCACTATATTATTTTATATTATATTATATGAGGCATAAAAGCTTGATGTATCAAATACGACAAACACAAATGCAAATTTTTAAAATATTTTGTCTAAAGTTTGATTTAAATGTTTCATTAAATAAAATAGGTTTTTATGACTATTATTTCATAGTCCGGTTTTACAGAGTTTATACTAAACTAGCCAACTGGCCTACAGTCTGTACTTGAAAAATAGAATGATGTATCTGATATTTAAAAACAAATGATCAAAACATTACCGGAGGTTTAAAAAAGACAGGTTCGTTGTCGTCGATGTCAGACAGAGCCACCTGCAGCGGCTGCATGGTCTCATATGGGACGGGCTGCCCGAGGTCATACGCCACCACAACCAGCTACATACAAATACAGAGATTTCAATTGTTATTGCACCATTTTTGAAGGTTTTCTGCTGTTCTCATTTGTCTGTTATTTTGAATTGTGTCTGGTTAGAAAGAAAGACTCACACTGTACAGGGCTTGTTTCTCTCTGTCCAGTGTAACCGCAGTGGTGATCACTCCGGTCACTGCATCAATATGGAAGTTCTCCCAGTCTCTATTTCCTGCTCCAGTCTGCAGGAAGCTGTACCGGACCTCTCCGTTCACCCCCTCATCCTCGTCTGTGGCGAACACTTCATACACCACCAGCCCAGGAGGCTGTTCCTGCAACGACACACACAAAACATGACCGAATGCTCACTCATTCATGATGTCTGACCCTGAACAAAAACAGGTCATCCAAGCTCTCTCAGCCCAGATATGGGGCATCAAATTTGACAGACCTCCATGTGACAGATTTGGGTCAAAGTATTGAATGGTGAGTAGTACTCATCTCTGTTAATCTGTCCATGCGAGAGATTTTAGTCAGAATGACAAGCAGAGAATCTCTTAATTTATATTTTTTGTGCCATTTAGTGCTTTTGACTCTAATCAAGGCGTTTCAACGGTTTTAAAAACTGCCCTTGCTGCAAAAGGAACTTACAAAGTTTCCACAAAGTCGTCAAAATACTATCTGCTATGACACTATGGTTAACATCTCTCTGAGTCACAGGGGTGGGTTTCATCACTTGGGCTCAGGAATAAAGAGCTTCACATTGATCACAAAGATCTGCAACACGATCTTTTCACTCTGGCTGTCAGAGGTACACAGGAGGCTTGACCACACAAGCAAACACTAGATCTCTACTGCATGTTTCAGCATGCAACTAGACAGCTACATGTAATGGATATTCCTATGAAGTACATGTGAAGTGAGAAAGACAATGAGGAAGACAAAAGAAGAGTGCTGTGGGATAACTGAGAACACATCAATGCGGTTGAGTTGTAATTTGTAGGGTGAGTGAGAAAGCACAAAAAAAGCAAAAAAAAGCAAAAAAGAAAATATCATTTAGTAATAAAAATGAGCGCTTGGTTTTTCACTGCCTCACACCTCAAGTATGTGCATGATAGTGCCATTGGCAGGCCGCACAAAGACCGGCCTGTTATCATTGACATCTATGACGGTGATCTGAAGACTGGTGGTTCCCCAGAGTGGCGTTCTGCCATGATCAGTCGCCACCACGGTCAGATTAAACCTCTCAAAACTCTGCAGTAACCGCAGGGAGCGAATCAGCCCAGTGTCAGGATCCAGAGAGAACGCATCTGTAAAAGAGAGAGGAAGAGACATCAGCAAACTATGTAGCTGTACTTGAGCGGGTTTATCAAATTGTACATGGAAAGTAAATTGACAATGTCTTTAATTTCCAATTAATTTCCTGATTTTGAATCAAGGTTGCAAACGGGATGGTGAGTAGCGATTCAAATTTAAGAAAGTAGATTTAAAGTGCTATATTTATGTATATCTGTGTGTGTGATTTACCCGCTCCAGGGCCCTGTAGACTGTAGGTAAGTAATGCATTCTCCCCCTCATCGAGGTCAATGGCCTTCATCGTGATCACTGATGTACCAACCGGCTCATTCTCAAACATACTAGTGGTGAAGACTCTCTCTGAGAAACGTGGGCGGAAATCATTTACATCCATCACTGTCAACTGCACCTGAGAGAGAGACGGAGATCAGAGATCTGATACAGAGGTGTTAAGGTGGAGTAACGAAAGCTTTTTTGGTTGTTTTTCCAAGTCTCTGAGGTCAGCTCGTGCAAAACGGTTCACATGAAACTGAAACATTCTGTGCAAAAAATGCAAACATGTACAAGAGAGTCTGAGATCTGAACACTGGTTGGGAATACAGCAAACCAACAATTCAATTTAAAACACATCATGATGATGCAGACTGCCCATCTGGACTCATCAAAGCTGCTTTAATTTATAATAATTTAATAATTTATGCATTTAGCAGACGCTTTTATCCAAAGCGACTTACAGTGCATTCAGGCTATACATTTTTTACCAGTATGTGTGTTCCCTGGGAATCGAACCCACGACCTTTTGTGCTGCTAACGGAATGCTCTACCACTGAGCCACAGGAACACTATGCACAATGCTTTGTGTTTGCATTTTACTCACATCTGGAACTTATGAATATTATGCAAAGTTTGCATTTAAAATTGCATCAGCTGATTGTAAATTTAATTTTCTGCTTGTTTTGCTTCTATAACTTCCCACTTCCTCATAACAACAGAGTGTGAATAGAGGAAGTGCAAGCTGACCATTTGGACACCTCACAAACACTTCAAGTCTTGTGAAACCTCATTTGCACAGCTGATGCTCTCTTCATATCCTCAAACAGGAACTGGAAGTGAAGGAGACTCCGCCTTGACTGCGTCAAGGTCTCTTGCTCAAATGATTTTATCCATGTTTGGTTTTTCTCGCTGTGGTCAACTGGTCTTTACAGTTTGCAGAACAGGTTGTTTGAACATTGATTTCACATTGAGATAAAACGATGACACAAGTTCATCTGGTTGTGTCTGAACGAGCCGGAGCTAAACATATTTTATTTAGCAACTAAAAGGGGCAAGATATGCTGCCTGCTACTTTTGAGTTTAGAAGTCATAATTATAAAGTGATGTGCATCAAATGATTTCTTAGGTAATAAAATGGGTGAAATTTCAAATTTTTTCAGCTCATCCACACATTGTATGTACCTGGACGGAGTTTTCTCTGCGGTTGTTGGGGTTGCCTCCGGGGTTGTCCCTGGCATAGGCTGTGAGAGTGTAACGGTCCTTGGTCTCTCTGTCCAGGACAGACAGGATGTAGATGTCACCCTGATAGCACAGGACATCAACATTGAATATAAATGACATTACAAATGGCATTTCTTATTGTCTTATTCTTATTGTCTTTTGTTTTCACACCAACACACTCACCGTAGTGGGTGTGATGCCGAACTTGCCCTCTCCATCCACTAGCCCGTATTCAATGACAGAGAACAGACCGGAGTCTGCATCTGTCGCACTCACACTTACAATAATGGTGCCAAGTGCAACATCCTCAAAAATGGACTTCTGCACACACAAACATACACAAAATCTTCGGTTCAAACGTCTCTTACTTTATGCTCACCGAGGCTGCTTTTATTTGATCAAAAATACAGTAAAAATGTTAATATTGTGAAATATTATTACAATTTAAAATAACTGTTAGAATATATTTTAAAACGGAATTTATTCCTGTGATGCAAAGCTGAATTTTCAGCATCATTACTCCAGTCTTCAGTGTCACATGATCCTTTAGAAATTATTCAAATATTTGGTTCTCAAGAAACATTTCTTATTTTTATCAATGTTGTGCTGCTTAAAGTTTTTGTGGAAAATGTGAAAAGCCTAAAGCAACACTGAAAATATTTAACATAGCATTGATATAAACTGATTTTGAAAACTGTGACATCAATAAAAGCTAAGACAAAATGCATTAAGACACATTTTCTGCACTATTTTTAACTAAATAATCATATAAATACTCATTGGTCATACTTAAAATTCATACTTACCATAATTTGTTATTAAGATTTTGCATTGAACAAACAAAAAGCAACACAGAAGCATTTTCACTAAAGTGTCAAACTTTGACACCACTATATGAGGTTCACACCTCTATTTTCCTCCATCGGAATTAACATTCTTCCTGAATTTAGCAGGAAAGAAAAGCATCAGTACCCTGACTCTCTGGTTTGTTCTGATTTACCTGATATAAAGGTTGCTGAAAGACTGGGTTGTTGTCGTTGACATCAACAATGCGCAAATAGACAGGAAGTTCGGCAAAGCGAGGAGGCGTGCCGTGATCCTGAGCACGCACCGTGAAGTTCAACCACTGCACTTGTTCATAATCCACTGTCCGATTGGCCACAATTTTACCTGTGGATAGTGATTTAGAAAGACACGCACCATGTAGATTAGAGATGGAATTAAATCACCCATTTGTCAAGCTTCAATCATTTAGGGATAAGGGTTAGACCATTGATAGAAATGTGAATATATTCAATTGTGTAACCTGTAGAAGGGTCTTCAAGTCTTATGTAGTCTCCACGGGGCAGGTGTAGGAGCTGGTAGATGATCTGTCCGTTGGGCCCTTTATCAGGATCCACAGCCGTCACCGACAGCAGTGTGGTACCAGACACAGCACCCTCCAGAATCCTCTCGGAGAAGTTCGCTACCCCGAAAGGACGAAAACGAGGAGCGTTGTCATTCACATCCAGCACGTTGATGGTTAATTTAGCTGTGGGGAGAAATACAATTTAAATGAGTTGATTTCCCCGAAAAGAGGAAAGGAAACAAAATGTTTACCCCAGGCCGATTTATTGCTGGTCAAGAAAAAAAAATAATGGGAAGGAAAACCTGACAAACTGGAAGCTGGTTACCAGCATGGTTTCTGGTTAACTTTGCTGGTCAAGCCAGTTAATAAGCCCAGCGCACACACTGGTCTTTTCAGTAGATGCAATAAAAGAAAAAGATTGCAATGTTATCAAACTTAAAGGAATAGTTGCAGATGTAGATGAGTTTTAGATAGAGATGAGTTTGTTTCTTCAGCGGAACAGATTTGGAGAAATGCAGCATTTACATCACTTGCTCATCAATGGATCCTCTGCAAGGAACAGGTGCCGTCAGAATGAGAGCTTGAACAGATGCTAAGAGCTCAAACAGATGCTCAAAACAATAATCCACAAGTAATTTAAGTAATCCACAAGCGTATTTGCAATAAACCAGCTTTTCGCTTCACAAGACATTAATGGATGTACTGGAGCTGTGTGCACTACTTGTGGATTATTGTGATGATTTTATCAGATGTTTATCAGACTCTCATTCTGACGGCACCCATTCGCTGCAGAGGATCCATTGATGAGCAAGTGATGCAATGCTAAATTTCTCCATATCGCCAAGCTCCAATGAAGAAACAAACTCATCTGCATCTTGGATGACCTGAGGGTGAGTAAATTAAATAGATGAACAAATGAAAACAGGAGGGACAGAAAGTAGTAAGCAGACAGAAAGATCTTTCTTACCGTTGGGTACACTGACGGACATGTCAATAACATCACTGGCATTGTCATGCACTGAAACGATGATCTCAAAAGTGGCAACCAGCTCTCGGTTCAAGGGGTTTCGTACAAACACAGCACCTGAGAATAAAGATGGACACAAATATCAACACAAAACGACAGAACATGGTTCCCGGAAGTAAAAATCCCATTCATTTTCTCCATAGAAAATAGATTTTTTATAAAAATGTATAGTGTTTAGTTGCTGAATTACAAATGAAGAGCTACATGTGACATCTCAGAGGGCTAAAAGTGCAACTTCTGCAGCAAAAATAATATCTTAAGACATAATTGCTCACCTGTGTAAAAGTCAATTCCAAACGACTGCTGCAGCCCATCCACTGGATTATTCCCATCATCCTTTGCTTCCACAGAGATGATGTAATACTCCAGGCGGGGTCGTAGATCAGCGTCCTCGGCAGTGAGCGTAGCTATAACCTCTCCTGGCGGTGTTGACTCGTTAACGCTGATAGTCTGCACAGGCCGTATGAAACGAGGACGGGAGTCATTGACATCGTCCAGAACAACAGTTAACATCGCCGTTCCTGAGAGAGGGGGTGTGCCTCGGTCAGTTGCTATGACAACTAGACGGTACGAGCTACGCTCCTCTCGGTCCAGTGTAGCATTGCCCACCACAACGGCACCAGAGAGAGCGTCAACAATGAAACGGTCCTGAGCGCCGCTGTCTAACCGATACTGCAGCCAACCGTTAGAGCCACCATCAGCGTCACTCGCCGACAGCTGCGTTACTACCACACCTGAAAATACACACAATGATACATTTTTAGTTTTAGCAATTTTAGTATTTCAAATGAAACTTGTTTTGTTTAGTATTTCTAACTTTTTTTATGTAATATTTATATTTAATTTTATTTCAGCTTTACTTCAATGTAGAAATATACTGTATATATATATATATATATATACTAAGAAATAAAAAAAAAATAATAATAAAAAAAAAAAAATACTTATAAATATTAACTATAACAATTATTAGCAATATTTATTATATTGATTATTGTTATTATTACAACAACACACTCCCACTCTTTGCAATGGGGACCAACAAACCAGATTAAAGTAGCTTTTCTACCAGTTCATCTACCTCCATCAGTTGATACTGTCTCTCTCACCTGTGGGGCTGTTTTCTGGCAGGTGTACAGTGAAACTGGATGGATTGAAGACAGGTGGGTTGTCATTTATGTCGAGGATGGTGATTGTGAGTGGGACGGTGCTGTTTAAACCTCCCACATCCTCCCCAAGCAGAAACAGCTCCACCCGCGGCACAGAGAAAGCCTCCCGGTCCAGCACAGCACCTGCACGCGCCGATACCACCCCTAGAGAAACAGAGAGAGGGGGTGGGAAAGAGAACGTGTCATGAACGGGAGTAGTGCTTGATTACGAGAAACACTCTGTGGGTGTATGAAAGGTGGAAGGACTGTTATCTTGCATAACTGACACCACAGATATAAAAGTACCTCATATTTAAAGGAATTAAATTTAAGATCATTTAATCATTGAAAAAAAGACCAATTTAAGACCAACTTTGAAAAAAGATTGTATTAAAGGTTACATTTATTTGATGTTAAAATACTTTCTTAATTTAATATACAAAGACAACTATAAGTAAACTAAATAGTGCAAACTATATTATTGAGCATCCTGACCAACCTGACACAGCAAAACTGACTTTACAAATGGCTTGAGTTTATATGTTTTTCAACCAGTGGCAGACGGGGAATGTTTGGGAAATCTGTTATTATTTTTCCAATTCCGTTTGGTGACAAAACAAAATAAACAAAACAAAACAAAACAAAACAAAACAAAATAAACAAACCAAACCAAACCAAACAAAACAAAACAAAACAAAACAAAAAACAAAAACAAAATAATGGACTGTACTAGCAGAAAAAAACTCTACTACTACTACATCAATGTGAGCAGTCGAACTGAATATTACCCTCTTGATATTATCTCTTGAAGACATCAACATAACGTTTTTAAAAACACCTTGAGGCCTTTAATTTTGGAAAACATGAAAACAAAACAGACATAATCTATAGCATCTGTGCTTAACTTCAGACCTGTGCGGGAGTCTATGGAGAAAAGGTCCACTCTGTTTCCCAGGAGACGATACCTCACCACCGCATTCTCCCCAATGTCTTTGTCCTCTGCTAGAACTGGGCCGTTTAGAATCAACACAGTGGTGCCTGATGGACAGACAGACAGACAGAGGTTCAGAGATTTGGCTTCAGAGGTTCAGCTTTGATCCGATGTTAAATGAGTCATGACCATCACTGTTCATCTTGTATTTATTTCCCCTCAGGGTATGTTATATTAGTCACAACTTCGGCTGCCCATAACTTAGTTTTTCATGCTTATTTTCATGATTAATGATTAATATCAGACTTGTGATGTCTCCTGAAATCCTAAATCACACCGTTTACCACCATTTACACCAGAGGAGAAAGTTTCTCTTGAGGTTTTTTCTCCACTGCGGTCACCTGGAGGAGTATGGGTTCCTTGCTACTGTTGCCTTTGTCTTGCTCAGTTGGAGTTTAAAAGACAATTAATGTTAAAAAAATATTATCTGTTTGACTGCACTGACACTATCAGATGAGAACAAAACTTGAATTACACTATAATGACATTATTGTTTTCTGCAGAGATGCATATGAAGTTGTTTCATAATCGATGACTTTTGTAAAATTGACAGTTATTGAACTGAATTGGATCAACACTGAACTAAACTGAGCTGAATAATGACACTAATGTTTTCTGTAGAGCAGCTTTATTGCTCAATCGAATTAGTTTCATAACTGACGAACTGCAACATTGACACTTTTACTGAAATGAATCACTGAGCTGAATAATGATTGTCTTCTGTAGACCTGCTTACACCTTTAAGACTTCTTAGTAAATTTGTTGGTTAATCTCTTCACATATAAAATACGTAATAGTGCTTATTTATGGGTTACAGATTTATATTATGTTCTAAATACCAAACAGGTGTTATCAATGTGTAATTGCGAGCGATGATTTGATGTTAACACAAAATGTCAGAAATGGTATTTTTGTTCTGAATTCTGAAAGTTACACAATGTATTCAAAGTGCAACAAACTTCTGCTTCAAAACCTTTGTCATTACAAAGGCAATCAACACAGCTATAAACGAGATTAAAAAGCTTTTCTTCTTGGCCCTACATGATCTTCATTTCTGAGAGTCAGGATGTGGTTAGAGAGAACACTGGGTACCTGTGGGGGAGTTTTCACTGATCTCGCCCCTGTAGCTGGACTGGGTGAAGATGGGCCTGTTGTCATTCACATCCAGCACAGTCACCACCAACAACTCTGAATCCTGAGCAGAGAGAAAAGAGTCTCATGACAGAGTTAACCTGACGATGTCTTTCATGCCATCTGTGAAACCTGAATATGTTGTGCTATTTACCCTGCGTGCGATGCGAGGGTTGTCTGGGTTGTCTTTGACGGTGATGGTGAGGCTGTATTCAGCCACTCTCTCTCTGTCCAGCGGCCTGTTCACCTGAACTACACCTGACTGGAGGGAAGAGCACATTAGTCTGTTCACTCTTACATTATTATTTCTGTCTCTTATCAAAAAAGGGGGAACAATTATTTTCTTCCCTATATCCCTCTGTCTCTTACTGTCTCATTAATGTAGAATGATCCATCACTGTTGCCGGCGGTGATGCTGTATGTGAGGAGAGCATTGCGGTCGCTGTCAGAGTCTTGTGCCCGCACTTGAGTGATGGAGGTGTGGATCGGTGCTCCCTCGCTCACGCTGGTGTTATAGGGTAAGTTGAGCAGGATGGGGTCGTTATCATTAATGTCCAACACCTGAATGCTCACTACCACCTGACACAGAAAAACAAAACCACAATATGAATTATGGGAAATATAAGTAATTCAGTACATACTAATTCACACATATAAACCATACTAAATAGTTTAAAATATCACAATTAGCGTGGCTTGAAACATATTCCATTTCCTATTATTAAGTGTGTATTTGTGCATGCTTTATAGATTTAAAGCATTTTCTTTCAATGCTTTCAATGGAAAAATGACAGATTTGGGGAACAATGTAATTGTGTTTTTTTCTGATAAAAATTTCAATTGCATTTATTTTTTTAAAGCTCTGGGTTTGCTGTGTTTGTTTGTAGGGCTGCACAATTTGGCCAAAATGTTTTGTAATTATATATCAATATGACTAGAAAAACATAAAAAATAAAAAATAACAATTATTATTATTATAAAATAAAACTATTAAAAAGAAATATTGTTGTGGTAACATTTCACTGTAAAATAAAAATTGAGGATTTAAGTAAACTAATATAATTATTATTTTATTTTACAACTGTAAAATTACAATACTAATATTTATGACTGATTTAACTGCTTAATTTATATATTATAGATTTGAATAACTGAGGCGAAGAATGGACAAAAAAAAAAGGCTAATAGAATTGGGGGAAAATTTGTGATCTTTCTGATAAAATTTTTTAAATTTTTATTTATATATATATATATATATATATATAAAAAAAAAACATTTTAAGCACCAGGTTTGCTGTGCTTTTTTGTATTAAAAAAGAAATACTACTATTGCAAAGTAAAATAAAAGATTGAGTTTAAAGAGTTTAATTTCTTAATTTTCAAATGTTAAAACCATCTAACTTTTATTTTGGTGAACTACAGGGAGGCCTTAAAGCTTCTCCTTTGTTGACAACAGATGGATTATAAGCACGATTACAAGGAAAATAGTCGTAATATATTGCATTCCCAAATGCAACCCAAACTCAGAGCAGATGCAGAGATGAGTCTGCAGAGCAGCATTTACTGTGAACCGAGCTTCTCTAAGAACAAGTTTTTCTTTTTTGCACAAGTAGCTCTTGTGCAAAAGAACCCAATGCAGTCTCGTTTTGAAAAACACAGCTCATATATCTAATTAAATTTCAGACTTTTCAGTTTTATTTAGATCAATTGTGAAGCTCTAATGACAAGAGATGCTGTTCTTAAAAGTATGAAAATTAAACTAAAATAATAATAATGAATTTTAGTAATAACAAATGTCAATGTAATTCATTTAGCTTGATGCTTAACTACAAATGCAAACTGTACACAACAAAGAGGTTTGTGGTGTCACAGTGCAATTTAGTATGTCCCAATACTGGCCTATTATCTTCCCACATACTCAAAAGTATGTACTTTCCCATCAGTTCATAATTTTTGGCATAGTTAGAAGATTAAGAACTGAATGTGTGTGGGGGTGTTTACCATAGCGCTGAGCGCTGGCGTTCCCAGATCTTTGGCAGTAATGGTGATGTTGTAATAGGCGATAGTTTCTCTGTCCAGCTCCACATCTCTCCTCACTCTTAACTCTCCCTCAACCGATGAAATTACAAACTCATCTGAGAAAGAAAGAGAGAGAAAGAAACAGAGACAGATAGAAAGGAACAACTCAATTTTAAAGGCAGACAGGAAATTGCAACACAAATAATTTTTCTGATTGGATCTGAATCAACTGTCTACCACACACACACACACACACACACTTTTCAGGTCCCCTGCGGTGATGCTGTACTCCACTTTTCCGTTGGATCCCGAGTCGGCATCCGCTGCTTTAACGGTCCACACACGTGGACCCGGCTGACCCTCTGTGATTTCAAACGGACCTTCGAATGGTCTCGGGAAGATGGGTGCATTATCGTTCACATCTACCACATTCACCAGGACCTGCGGTAAGGGGAGTGTGTGAGTGTGATATAAAGGAATCATGAGGATTGTATATGTGTGTGTAGCAGATATGAACTCACTGTGGTGCTGGAGGTCAGTCTGAACTGAGGTATAGGACACTGATCTGTAGCTGTGACTGTCAGCACATAATGACCATTACTGATCTCATAATCCAGCTCCTTAATGACCACAATCTGACCCTGTGAACACACACAACAAACCCCCAATGAACACGCACAGCAGTGGAGTATATGAATCATTCTCAGAAAGTCTTTTGTAAACTATCACGTCTCTTTTGAAAGACTTTTTAAATATACTTTTATTCTGCAAGGATGCATTGATCAAAAGAGACATTTATAATGTTACAAAAGACTTCTATTTCAAATAAATGCTGTTCATTTAAACTTTCTTTTCATCAAAGAATCCTGAAAAAATATATCACAGTCTCCACAAAAATGTTAAGCGGTTTTCAGCATTGATAATAATAAGAAATGTTTCTTGAGTAGCAAATCAGAATGATTTCTGAAGGATCATGCGACACTGAAGACTGATGCTGAAAATTCAGCATTGCATAACAACAATAAATTACATTTAAAAATATATATATATATTTTTTTTTTATTGAAATAATATTTCACAATATTACTGTTTTTTACTGTATTTTTAATCAAATGAATGCAGCCTCAATCAGAACATTTAAAAAATCTTACTGACTGGGAGAAACATCATACTATTTTTGACCACAAAAGTTTTTCATTCAGTATTTGTCACCATTTCATTGTTTACACTTATATTGGACTTTTCAGGCTCAGTTATAGGAAAACTATATATAATCTAATGTGTTTACTTGGGTCATTATGTAAATGAGTTATCTATGTAATCTATGCAAACTCTAAGTATTTGAATTCAAAAATTACTGTGTTGGGTTAAAATAATAATGCAGTCAATTGTGTACAAACACAATTGAGAAAAAATTAAAACATCTAACAAACACTTCAGTGTCTCTAAACCAATCCTGGTTTACAGTCTGTCACTCTCTGACCCCCTCACCGTTATGCTATTGATCTGGAACGTCTGGGCCAGGTTGCCCTTGGAGATGGCATAACGGATGGTTCCGTTGAGTTCTTCATCAGGATCGATGGCAGTAACCGTTGCGATAATGGCTCCTACAGTGTTTGGCCCCTCTCTGAGCTCCGTCACATACTCTTCCTCTGGAAACTCAGGCGCATTGTCATTTTCATCAATTATACGGACCCAAACGATGGTGGACGTCTGTGGAAATGGATGACAAACAGCAAAACATGAAACACTTGTAATAATTTTTCAGTAATAACTATATATATATATATATAAATATATATATAATAAATAAAAAAAATGTGAGAAGTGTATCAATGCATTGAAAAAATAAAACTTTCAATATATTATTTCATTTAAATAAATAAATAGTATGTTACAGAATCTGTCTACAGCAAGGCAATGTTTATGGTCTTTGGATGAAAGTATTTGCATGTGAACACACTATGCATCAGTGTGGAGTAACCTTTATCTCATAGTATCATGGTAAACTAGTGTAGCAAGTTTGAATGTTATTTGCATAACCTGATGGTGTGTGTGATGGCGGGAGGTTACTGATGTGTGCATTTCTTCTGGCGTCTGATGCTATCAGGTATCAGATCCAAACTGATACCATGTCTCCCCTCAAAATTCACTCAAGCAGTTCGCACAAGCGCTGAAACTGAAATTTGGTCAACTATGACAAACATTGTGAATATGGTGCGGCAAGAACAACATTGTAAAATATTGCAAAATTCAGTCATCGAAAGTCTGTATAAAACTGATCTGTGTCTGCTGTTAAAAACCTCAGAGACAGCCGTCCTAAAATATAAAGGCCGTTTTAGGTTTTCGTTTATATTGTGAGAAAAAAAGTGATATTATAAACACAACATGCTTTGAATATTAATATCTATACTAAAGCCAAATTAAACAATTTAAACATTACCTGAGAATAGTGAAAACAATTATTTATCATCACGAACAAGCATTACTATCTTTAAATTATATATTTTTAATATATATTCATACTCATTGAAATTATTATTGCAGAAAAATAAATGTCCAGAAATGTGAAGTAAAATGTATTTTAGTTATATAATTACATTTAATTAATAAGTAATTATATTACTACGTTACAAAAACGTTAAAATTTTAATGATAATTAGTTTTAAAATAATAATAATAAGTTTAATTTAAATAGATAACTGATGAAACTTTTTTTTTTTTATTACACTTCAAAGACTAAATCATCAGTCATATTTGATTCTTTCACATATTAGTATAATGGCATATAATTTAAGACAAAAAGCAACTTTTTGTCTTTAATTATATTACTACACATTACCAAAAAAAAAAAAAAACTTTACAATTTAAACAGTTTTAAAATAATTATAGTTCAAATCAGTTTAAATAGACAACAGATAAAACATTATTTTATTTATTTATTAAATCACACTTTAAAGACAAAATCAAATTGAATTTTTTACATGTCATTATATAAGTAGATGACCTATTATTAAAGAAAAAAGCAAACTGCAGTTGTGGGAGGAGTGAGAGCTTAGGGAGGAGAGTAGAGACTGCATGAAGTAAGTTAGTGCTTCTTGTTTCAGTGCTTTACTTCTGATATGATTCTGAGAAGTAACTTACTGTAAGAGCCGGCACAGCAGTTCACAATACACGGGAATAAGAAGAAGACTACATAAGATTTCTGTCATCACAGCTGGAGAAACTGTAGACATTTCAACAGTTTTGTGAACGTTACAGGAGATCAGGACTGATGGATGTATTTTGCGCATTGTTGCTCTGCTTTCATCTCTTAACTGCGGTTCAAGGTAAATCTACTCTGAACATTATTTCTGGAATAAGGCTATATATATATAGCCTTATTATAGGCTATATATATATATATATATATATATAACAGCTGGTCTGTGTACATATGCGTCACACTGACGTATTTGGCTGTCATTCGCGTTTTGCCTTTTTTATGCGTTTTAATATCGTGGTTCACGTTTTAAAAACGTGTCTCGAGACCCCCGCGTTCTTTTCAATCCCGTTGCGTTCCGAGCGCGTTCTGTGTGAACGGCCCTGATTCTGACATTTGTTTACTTGTGAAACGACCTCAAGGCTGATCGGGCGTGTGTCAGCTTGCTTTAAAACTGAAAACCAACTTTTCGTCCCCTGAAGTTTTGGCCTGAAATCAACACTCAACTCTACAAAAAGACCGTCATCTGTCATAGTTTGTGATCGATCGTGTGTTATGTTACTGCGCTACTTTCCTCACATTCAGCGGCTCCTTTTAATTTTCTACCGTGGTTTAAAGCCGTGTAATTTTGGCCAAGTACGTATATATTTGGTGAAATCATACCGACAAGAACCTCAAAGTTTTGGTACATCCAGTCGCCGAGTTTACACTTTTTCGTGCATAGCGATAACAAGCATGACGGCTTGATTCATGAATATTAATTAATAAAGTAAGGCTTATCTAGCTGATTGGCTTAAACGTTAGTGGGCGTTAAACAGCTAGCAAATCCTACAATGTTGCATACTTAGCTTGTGAATATTAATATAGTTGGAGTGCCTAATTAATATTAATTAGCTAATTTGGTCAACAGTAGTAGGCTATTCTAAATTGATCAGTTACGCAAAACCAGCGTTTTCAACGTCTGCTATATGCATTTGACCATTATTAAACGCTATAATCACGATGTGTCGTCTTAACCGGAATTTAAAAGACGTTAAAAAACGATTCATATCAGTTGCAAAGAGAAACACAAGGTCGTTGACGTGACATGTGGCCAAGTATGGTGACCCATACTTGGAATTAGTGCTCTGCATTTGAACCCATCCAAAGTGCACACACACACACTGTGAACACACACCCGGAGCAGTGGGCAGCCATTTCTGCTGCGGCGCCCGGGGAGCAGTTGGGGGTTCGGTGCCTTGCTCCAGGGCACCTCAGTCGTGGTATTGAAGGTGGAAGAGAGCGCTGTACATTCACTCCCCCACCTACAATCCCTGCCGGTACCCAGAGTCGAACCTGCTACCTTTGGGTTATAAATCCGACTCTCTAACCATTAGGCCACCACTGAATGAAAAGACTGTACACTTTGTGTCATACTCTTTAATCACAGTGTTATTAATGTAGCATCTTGTTTAGTATACATCAGCTTTAATTGGATCCTTCCTTCTTTACACAGCTTCCCTCTCAGCCAATCAGAGAAGCCTAGATAAAAAAAAAATTAAGAGTAAAATTACATTAAAAGCTCTGTTTGCCAAAACTAATGGTATACAGGGCTTTATATGAAAATAATCCATGTTTCAGCTGAATTTACCCAGCTTCAGTTTGCAAATGAAGCCATTAATCCATAGACTATGGCTGGTTCATCATTTAGCTAATATAGATTTTTGCCAATTTTAGTGCGGTTGGTCTAAAGCTAAACAGTATTAGATTTGGGCATTCAGGAAGCGGCAGGAGGTGTGAGGCTTGTTCCAAGAGGGAAGCTGTTAAAGCTGAGTAACCGTCAGATCAGTTCTCCATGCAGGGGGTATCGATTCGAAGAGTGAGGACATGTGATCTTTCCCAAAAAGCCTGATGGTTTCATCCTAACCAGGCCTGAGAAATCAAGATGTGTTTGAAACAGAGATACGGAGCAAATATTTATTAGAGAGAGACAGGAAGACAGACAGAAAGGATCCCAGATGGAATGAGACTATCTGTGGATATTGCACCAGGATTACATTCCTGACCCCCTGGGTTTGTCATTCCCCATGAGAGGCTACATCCACCTTGCCTTCTCTGTAAAAATATGAAGAGGACAAAATTACTGACTAAGAACTAAGAGAAAAATAACATGAGGGAGGAAAAATGATGCAACCATGAGCTTTAGTGTTGCTTGCTGAAGCAAACATTACCATTGCTTATTGTTATTGACGCTTAAGACTGGCCGACCACAGAAATGGTGCCTTTTTAAAACACTCGTTATTTCAAATACAAATCAGCACAGAAAATCCACAAAGATATAATTGATTTTGCTTCTGGAAATGTCAAATAGTCTATTACGAAAACAATACATGAAGTTGAGGGAGGGCAGATACTGATCTGCAGGAGGTTTCAGGTGAAACGGGACGGTCCCTCACAGTCACGCTCTCTGCAGATGAGAGGGAGGTGCTTAGACCCCTATGGCTTTCATTAACACCTTTTAACGAGGCTTGTATACAAATAGAGATAGCAAGAACAAAGAAATGAGACTAGGTGGGGGCTGAAAAGGGGGTTCTTTCTTTAAATAACAGCTCACACAAATACAAAAACGCACTTCTCATGACCTTATATTTTTGTCTTCCATGAAGCTCAGTGTCTGAATTGCTCTTTATAATAAGAACATGCCTACTGTCAAGCTTCAAAAAGGACAAAAGCAGCATAAAATACGATCAACTATCACATGGCTTCAGAAAACCTGGACAATTGTGTACTTTTTGTTTTTTTTCAATTATACTTTACATTGCTTCTTGAAGCTTGACAGTGTGAGGAATAGTTAGAAATTTACTGATAATCCTGCTCTCCAAAAAACCTCTTAAATGTCATTTGTATTTGTGTTCATTTCCAAAATAGTGTCTTTAGATGCATCACACCAGGTTTGACATTTATCAGGTGACCGATTTTACAGAAGTCATGATCAGTGAACAACTTAAAACTATTGCAAAAAATGAAGACGGTGTTTTAATTTTTTTGGTGTCCTTTTGGATCTTGGCAGCATAAATCACCATTAATTTTCTTTGTAATGAAAACAAGAAACATGGCAAAATATCTTTAAAGGGGCTTCAATGGTTGTGGTTCATAGACATTCTTTCTCTATAAAATGAAGCACATTCTGGACACAGTGGCACATAATGATTCTTCAAATATCAGTAATATATATCTAAATGTGATTCTTCAAATATCAGTACTGAAGTACAGGATGGATTCTTATGTCCATGTAAATTCTGTGACAGATGCTTTTGTGTTGATGTCACAGATGAACACATTTGCAGACAGATGCCCTCAAGCAGGGAAAGTTTCATTATTATTTCTCTCGCTCAGATGAGTCTGAGAATGTTCTGAGCTCAATTCAAGTTATGCTATCAGTCAACAATAAATTTGAATCGTGCTTACGTTGTTTTGAACCTTTCTTGAATGGATCAATGGCTGTTTAAGCAACAGTTTGGATTGGCTCTGC